CTATTGCTGCGTTCATGGGAGGTAAGAATGTCACTGTATTTCTAAGGACCATACAAACAAACCAATCTGCTGTAGTACATACTTGACTCAGAATCTCCACTGTTTTAATTACTTTGTATTGTCAGAGCAAAGACTGTAATCACAGACTGTAGTCAAAGATAGCATTAGAACAAAATCCTCCCCTTTATTCTCCAGATGTGACCTCCTATGGTATATAGAAAAAGTGGACACAGCAAGGGTTTAGAGTCAGTAAAAGAAACCAAATAAACTTAAATAATCTCAGTAGATTGATTCTAGTAGCTTAAAAATGTGTTTAAAAATAAAATGCTTGAAAGAGGCTTTGAGTTTAAAAAAAAAAAGGAAAGGAATAATTGTAGTTATACTAAAATTAACACAGTACACATATTCCTTGTAAATTAACACAATACACATGTTAAGTATCTATTAAATAAAATAGCCTTGATTGCTTACCTTAATTCAACCTGCAGGTATTATCAAAACTAAATATGTTTTAATGGATGCTTAAAGTTGATGTATCGGTTAACTTACCTTCTTTATTTGGCTTCATGCAGTGCTGAAGATAATAATGTATTAAATAATCTGTGGACGTAGGAATTTTTTTCTGATTAAGTGAAACTGGGTATGTGCAGTGCTTTAGAAAAATATGTAGAGATAACTTCTAAAGAAATTACAGAATATTTCATACTACAGGAGAACACAAAGGGATCAGAGTGAAGTGACCATTCAATTTATTTTACAGTTCAACTATACGTGATTTTTTTTAATTGAACTTCTCAATTTCATTTTGTGAGGTCACAACTTGCATGGGTCTACCTGCTCACACATTTTTACTCTGTGTGTGTGTATGTACATAGAGAGAGAGAGAAAGTATATACAGCAAAGTGTATGTAAAGCTAACTTTCGAAGTAACGGCTTTCTGAGCCTCATTTATACTGGGAACTACTGAAAGGCATTTTTTCCTCCTAGGAGTTGTATCAGGCGCTTCTGAAATAATTCCAGTGTAGTGAGTTGTAGATAAATAACATTTTTACTGTTTTTTTTAAATGTGACCAGCAAACTACCTTCTGTTTTATCTTTTTTCTTTTACAGGAGCTGCTGCACAGGAGGTTATCAAAGTCATTACAGGGCAGTTTGTAATTTTTAATAACACTTATATTTACAGTGGAATGTCACAGACTTCAGCGACTTTCCAGCTGTAGGATAGGATAACAATCTCACACTTGTTGCCACCAGGCGCTGCTGCTTGGTTCTGTAAATACTGTGGTGTTCTGGCACTGACTGGACTGTTCTGTATTACTTGCAAATTAAAGTTCCTTTATTTGTAACAATTTTATCTTTTTTTTTCTGAGGACAAATAAAAACATACCGAAACCTGAACACTTTTTTATATCTAGAATTTTCTGATTCATCTTTGAAAGAAAAAAGCAGCAGCTGTTCTTTGGCCTGGTAAGTTGCATTTACAAACTGGCTTACCTGGTTTGCAGCAGAGCTGAATTTTTTTCATAAAAGCTGCTCTTCAGATTGAGGGGCAGGACTTGCAAAAGGTTGAAAAAGGCTAATGTAACTTACGATGGTTTGAGGATCTGACTGTGAGAAGAGCTAGGGAAAGCTATAATACCTTTAATTGAGTTCACGGACATACTAGGGAAAGGGATTGTGTGCCTGAAAGCTTGCTTCTTTCAGCTGTATTCATCTAGTAAAAGATTTTTTCCTGCACCCTTTGTGTCTGGCAAATGTCAAGTGACGGCTAACTGCATTTTGTGGTGGTGGTGCAGTTTCCAAAATGCAGAGTATGGAAACCGAGCTGCATTGAAAACGAAGTGATTTCCCCCGAGCCTTGGCCTGGAGCCACGCTGAGGTTCGGAGAGCGCTCAGAGAAGGTTGAAAGGGATCTCCTGGTGCCCGAGAGGAGCGGCGTCTGGCGGTGCTTCCCTGCCCCGAGGCGACGGCGGTACCGCCGCTCGTCTGGCGCCGCCTGCGGG